AAGATCAAGGCAAATCCAAAATGAAATATCACTTGTTTTGGGCATGATTCATGCAATGAATTTTCATAGACCCACTTTGTGTGCATCTTGATGATCTTCTTCGGATGTATGAAAACTGTATAAAATCCATTTGTGTAGTTTATTGAAAAGGGTACTTTTAAACATTAAAACTTGTCCAGGATTTTCCTGATAAGCGAGGGCGCTGTTGCTGTGATGTACATCGGGGAAGATGCTTTTCAGGCTACCTGTTTGCATTTTCACATATTGGACCCCCAAAATGTTCTTTCGAAATATTCAAGGGGAAAGTCTGCTTGCTGGCTCATTGTCATAAAATGACAAACAGAAAATTGCCCACTAAAATTTTGCACAGCAAAATATACAAAATTCATAGTTTTTGTTGCACAAATCAATGCCTATGCAGCATTGAGGTTCAGTTGGATGACATCAAAGTTTTGTTCATGAATATAGAAGTAAAATCTCAATGCACATCAAAATAAGTGAAACAAAAGTTGAAAGAAAGGTTCGTTGAAACCCAAGGTGCAAGTTCGTGGGTTTTTGTACAATACTGCATTGTGGAGACCTTTTATAACCAATAAAACTTGGTCAAAAGTAGAACTTCTGACTGCAACTGTATTCGCAAATTTCCCAGTAATATCAAGCAGACTACATATACATTGTTGTACAGCTGTAACAAGGTCACCAACAAAATTCAGAAAAATCCCAAACATGGTGACAAATTAGTTCATACATTGTAATTTAACATGTTTTTCTTATTGTATATTTTCCCTCCGATTGTCTGAATTTAGAATACATCTTGACTTCAAACATTATATTTTACTGCCATAATGTAACTATGTTTATATTATATTAAGAAAAAGTAGGGTGAAGGCCAGATCCGTGCTTGCCGTGATAAAAAAATCATGCTTCAAATTCATATTAGCAAAAATTGAACATATGCCATCCCTTACTGGGCTTCCTTTTCATGTTCGCCTGCAATATGCCCCAGCCTAGTACATCAACTTTACGTCTTATTAATGTTATAGAATGAAACAAAGTAATTTCTTTTGAGTGGTTTGTCCTTTTTATTTTGACATGCTCTAGTGCAGTTGATTTTGAAGTTTTTAGATATTTTGAAAATAAACTATTCTTAACGTTCGTCATCAGTTTATTCAGCTCAGTTTTCTTGCTTAGTGGCAGCTCATACTTTGAAGAATTGCGTCTTCCCTGCGCTAATTTGATAAGCTCTACAGAGGGCGATATAATGTACACACAATTTTAGTTAGCTTTTTGCTTCTCCCCCTCCCTCAAAATAAAAACGACGGGAAGAGGGCGCTATTAACAAATTGATGTATGTGTAGAAAAAAATTATAAAAAAGTGCGACATATTTCACTTAACAACAGAGGGCGCCCTTGCTATTATCACCCTAGTACAATGGTGGGACTGGGAACCAGTCTCATATTGACTTTATGGGAGCAGTAGAGGGCGCTATATAAAAAGTCAATGGAGGGCACTATTTATTGAATCAGTAGAGGGCGCTGTTAATTTTTTCAACAGAGGGCGCCAAATATTGGTCAGGGGTAAACGTAATAAAAGACAGCATTTGAAGTTGAAGCTTTACATCATGTATGTACATAGGCCTATGTACGAAAGGTAAGTTTTTTCTCCAAAGAATCATATCATTAACAGTGTCATTTTATAAAATGAGGAGGAGGCTACTGAGCTGAGGCTAAAGTAGGCCTACTTCCAGAACGATAACGTGTCAGGTTTATATGAAAAGTGATTGACAGTACTAGTCTGTACTGTAGCGCTAGCACGGACTCTCACTCCCGATCCGTCCCTAGCCACACATCCGTATGCGCAATTTCGTGTCGGCGTACTGAACATTTTTGGCGCACCCACTTATCATCGTGGGCACAATTTCGGGGGGGGGGGGTAGAAGGTCTAGAGCAAAATACATCAAAGCATACGGACTGGGACTGTACTGGAATTTACCCCCAAAATAGCTGATCATGCAGCACATGGTAATTGGCAGAGCAGATGTGCTGGACAGTTATGGTGACACACCACTATACCTAGCCCTGCAGCGGGTACTACATGCCAACAAACATGGTAGCAACTCTTTGGTACATTGCTTTTAATGTTACCATGAGAATTAAGATGACTGTCAAGCATGGTTTTTGTTGAGTTTTCTGACTCAGCAACACAAAAAGTGTCGTGATAAGGACAGCTTTTGTGTTACCAATTTTCAAATGAAATGTGTACGGATCTCTAGCATTTCCTTTTCACAGGAATACACCTTATTCGTCAAAGAGCACAAAATTGAAATTGTAAAGAGCTGTGTCCTGGAGTACAAGATAGAAATGATGTCAAAATATTCACCAGAAGTGGTAACATTATGCAACTTATATAGGAGTTCAAGGCTCACAGAATTGGTAGTCCGATGTCTTGGGACAACCAAAATATTTTGTCAGACAACCAAATGTTCCAGGCTGCCAGCCCAACGGGCAAGCACCGTTTTCGGCAAGACATTTTTTTGCATTGCTTTGTAATCCTGTCATTTTGGACATTTCAGCACGGTGCACAGAAAAAAAAATTGCAAAAAAAAGACCGGGAAAAAAAGGTCGACATCCTAACCTTGATGTTGCACAACTGTACTTGTTCGGGTAAGTGCACCATGGTACGTCCAGTCGAATCATTGGCATGAACAATGCAGCCGTGTGTGTATTCAGATGTTTTCCTTGTGCCGGATCGCTAAAACTATATTCAGTCATATTACAGCTCAATTATCTTTAAATTCCAATGAAACGGGATCAGAGGTCGACCTTGTACATATATGCAGGAGGTACTTCCAAATATTTTCAAATTTTAAGCTTTTAATTTTGTCATACAAGATCGACAAAAGTGACGACGACACTTTTCCTAGTTCTGGATCGGTTTAGCCAGTTCTGGATCGCTTCAAAAATTTCTTTACGCATAAAAAGGAGTCAAGCTTAAGCCCATTTCTCAGCCAAAACCATTGTAACAAGCTTATTTTCTAGTAAAGCAAGTCTCATTTTAAAGGGAATTCGTTTATATATTAGATTTTCAGTGCATTAACATGGATAGCCTGCATAAATTTTGACTTGACTTTGCTGCTCAGTGAGCTGTCGACCATAAATCTTCCCCACGCTGCAAAGTTGACAAACCCATTATGTCACGTACAAATTTATTTCGCACGTGAAGTTGAGTTCATAATGTTCGTACATGTACTTGTATGCGCAATCCAAAACTAGGAAAACCGTTCATCAAATCTTGCGTAGTGAGTGACCTACCGTACAGAGCTGTAATTTTTTCAGGTGTTGATTTTTTTGTGCCCCCATGATTTTTGACAAACCATCAACAAATCTCGAAGCGCGAATCGGAAATTTAGACAGAATTCCTTTTCTTGAAACTTTCTTAGAACGAAATTTGTACTGCAAGACTTTTATTTTACCTTTCAAAAAAGAAGTCGTCTTAGCATGTAATGCTGCACAGCAATAGCACAGCAAGGTGGGTAGGCCTAGGCCTATTCATTTCAAGCGATCGGGAACTAGGAAAATCTAATTACTAAAAGCTTGGAGACCACACGGGGCAAAAACTTTCGTGTCGGGCAACTGAAAATGAAATTCGGGCAACCAGATTCTAGACTCCCCTGCCCGAGGGGCAACTACACTTTAACAATTTCGCGAGCCCTGTGAGTCACACCTGTAGTCATTCTTGTCAAGACAAACATTAGCATGACAAAGTACAAGATGTTGAATTGTCACATGGTGTTTTGCTATTCAGCAAACTTATATTTAGCCCCTTTGCACTTGCTCAAGATAAATTTTGGAGCAGTTCACCGCCCTAAACTTCAGTGCCACTCGTTTGTTTTCTTTTATCCTCAGCAGTTGAGGAGGGAATACGAGGAGAAAGCGGCCGCGGAGGCCAGACAGAGGGAGGAGGCCGAATGGCAGTCCAGATGGCAGGACGAATGGGTAGCAGACATGGTGGGGATGTGTGGCCACACCCCCTGGGAGGACACAGGTGTGCTAAGAATCAATAATGTTCTGGTGTTGATTTGACCCTAGCCCCCTCGGTCTTTTGACTAGGAAGCATCCTGAATCCTCCGAAATCCTCCGATTTTCAATATGAACAAATTGCATCCAGCCCAAATCCTCCATAATTTCTTCAAAATGTCATTTGGAGGTGTGCCTAACTGCCTGAATCCTTCAAAATCGTCCAATTCCTGTCATTATGTCGAGGCAGTGCGAATGGCATTCTTGAGCAGTGCAGTTGATTCAAAAGAAATATCGGGCTGAATTGGTGCTCGACTAAGCACAGACAACACAAGGTCCAATCCAAGACCTTCACGTATGGCATCCTTCAAAATCAGCCATGTACTTTTGCCATACGTCCTGAATCCTCCAAATTCCTCCACTTTGCAGAAAAGGATTTGAGAGGATTTGGAAGAGTTTATAGGGTTAATGAAGGGAAGAGCACCTTACTTCAGTT